AAAAAAACATTAAATTATTGCAATTGTTTATAAGCGTGAAAATTGCGAAAATGTTTAAACAATCACCACGGCTCACCTAATCGTCCGATTTGAATTTTTCAAAAACCATTTTAAAGCTTGAGAGCTCTTCTTTTTGTGGTGAAATTTTCAAGTATTCAAAGGCTTTAGATTTTTAGAAATTTGATTTTGAATATTTTTTAATTAAAAAAAAAATTTAAACAATTATTATGTAAAAACTATCGAACCGAATTGGATAAAATTTGGTGTGATGATTCTATGCACTAAGAAGTTTAATTGGGAAAAGTATGAAGATCCTAGGTATTATTCAAGTGTGAAAAAAATTGACAAATAAACTAGCATTTTTTTATAATTGCAACTAACTATCTTGATCAAAATTTAATTACAAAACTATTTTTCCTCTTCCATTTTTGTCTAAAATGAATAGTTTCTAAGTTGTCGACGAGAGATCCAAGAAAAAAATGAATTTGTATGCTATTTTTTTATACTTTTTTGCAATTACAATTAAGCCCACGCTTTTTTTAATTTGCATAGAAAAATTATCATTTCTGATGTTATTTAGAAGCCGTTAAAGCAAAAATCTCCGATCATATTGCGTTTTAACCAACCCGAAACAGATACCGCCTGTACTATAAGATGAAATTAGGATCTGTAGGAAAATTTTATGAAGCACTTCTAAAATGTTTTGAAGAATTCATAGTTCTTTAGTTTCGAATCGATCAATTTTTAATGTTTACAACAAAACTGTTTTATTAAGTTCATTCAACATTAATAATAAAACTCCTACAAAACTACAACAGAAAGTCTAAAAAGTTTTGTGGTCAAGTTTTAAGATACACTATAAGGTTGTTCTATAAATTCCTCCATTCGAGAAGTACATTTGATATCAGATAAACCTCATTTAAAACTGATTAATCTACAAATATTAAACGAGAGCCAGACTAAACAGCATTTGAATGGTTACTTGGGCACTTAAAATGTTTATTTCTATACTAGTATAAAAACGTTATTAACTGAAAACTGTGATTATTTCGTTATCCGTCGCTTCGATAGCTCTCCATCAAAGGTTAAACGCAAAAAGTACGTAAGTTTAAACAAATTTTTCCCTGATATCCCCAATATCGATTTCATAAATGAGGTGCTCCATCAACCGGTCCATATTGGGGTGAATATCATCAAAGGATTTAAAAATAGAATTTGGTATTTAACGAAATTTCTGAGGAACACTGCAAATTCCGTTTCTCTCAATCAATTCATGTTAAAATCCGTACAAATTGAATTAAAATTTTTAAGGTATCACAGAAAACATTGCGCAAGTTATACTGACTAATGAATACAAAATTATTGTACGAATATCGTTACGTTTTATTTTGAGAATCCAAGTAAGTATTATTACAACCAACCCTTGAATGTTTTCTGACGCGTTAGTTGAACCTTTTTAGAGTCAAAGTACCAAAAGAAGTAATCATATCCGACACATAAGTGAATAAAAGGCAATTAAAATATGCAATACAACGTTTTATCCATAATCACATCACAATCATATTTGTGGAGTCAGAATTAGTGGAATTTAATAAGAAAATATTCGCGCGACTTGATATTTCTTGCTAGTATTCAATAAAACGTAGTAGGTTTTGTTATACTTACTGGTTACTATGGTAGGTTGTTTATTATCAATAAATTAATTAACAGTTCTATCTGAATTTGGTAAAAATGCCAGAAGGTAATGGTGTTCCTGTGGTTGTTTTTGAAGAAGCTCAAGAAGCAATTTTCCATTTATTGCCAGCGAAATCCAGCGAGTATTACGAAGTGGTCGCCGAATTTAACAAATGGAGGAAAAAACGGGGAGTAATGACAATAAATGAAGAAATCATGCTGTCCCATTTTTTAAATTTGAAGAAAAAATATGCAATTTCATCTATGTGGTCGAAGTATTCGATGTTGAAGGCTACTATAAACGTCCACAAAAGTATAGATATTGGAAAATATAACAAGCTTACTGCTTATTTGAAGAGTGAATCGATATGATACAAAGCAAAAAAAGCTGCAGTATTGGAAAGAGCACATATTGAAGAATTTTTTACTGAGACTTCCGATAAAGAATATTTAATGATTAAGGTAATATTTCTTTATATATGTTGTTAGGTATATAGTGAACTTTGAATTATTTTAAGTTGCACTAATAATGGGGTTTCTGGTGCCTGTCGATTAGGGTTTCTGATTTCTCGGCCTATTTTTGTTCTCGGGTCTCGAGAATTCTCGTCTAGGAATTCCCGGGAATTCTCGAATTCTCGAGAAATTTCTAAAACTTAAAAAAGTCGTAATTTTGGAATTGCAATGTGAAATATAAACATGCTGTTATACTTCACAATCATCATTAACATTTATTATTTATTCAGTATTTTTATTAATTACTTATGTTTCTACTTCTACTAACAAAATTAAATTAATTTTTTAGTTTCTTCTTAAAAACCTTTAACTTGTTTTTTTATTAAACACTTTCAATATACTTATGTTTATTTCAATGTTTTTTAATCGTAGTTTTCTTCCAATAATAATAATTAATAATCATTAATCATGCAGTCTTTTAATTAAATAAATAGNATGGTATTCTATGCACGCAGTTATGTCAATATTCCTTAATTAACCGAACTTTTGTGCATCAAGTTGGAGATTTTGATAATTTTTTTCTCGGAAATGGTTGAGCTTAGGACCCACATCATATAAGGTTTCTTTGTTTATTTTAATGTATTAATGTCTGTTAAAATTAAGGCAGTCAAATTTCTAACACCCTGTATATACTTAATGAATAAGGTACGTTTAGATGTGAAAATTTTAAAACATCTAGATATTATTTTTTCCTTTTTAGGTTGTCGTAATATTTGGTATTGCTGGTGCATGTCACCGGGATGAACTGTACCCATTAAATTTGAATGATATAAATTATTTAGCATTAAAGTTTTCGTTAAAATAACATAAAACGAAAAAACGAGATCATTTGTGATAAACGAAACTTACGTGCCACTCACTGTATAGAAAATATATTGCATGCTTTCCAGAAAATTTTGAAGGTTGCCGCTTTTTCTTATAATATTCAAATGGAGAACGTTGCAGGCAAGCAGTAGAAATTGTGGAATACTTGTTGAATTGTGAATATGGTGTTCCTATAAACAAAACTCTTAAAAGGCCTTAGTTTTCGAGATATAGGGTGTTAAATTTTTAAATTCAAAGAATTGGAAAACATTGCATTTTGTGATATTTACTGTACAAAGTTATGACTGACGTTTTGTATGTCCACTTGGAGATTTTAATAACTTTTTATCGAAAATTTTTGAGTTTAGGAGGTTTTTTGTTTATTGTAACAATATACTGTCACTTATTAAAATTATGGCAGTTAAATTTCTAACACAACGTATGATATTTCTTACTACAATAAAAGTAATACATTTTTTTTTGTGGAACTATTCGAAAATACTTTTTATACACGATTACAATTATTCCGAGAATATAATAATTTTTTGCAAGGCATTTTTTCCTTGTAATTATTATATTTCGGGTTCTAAAAAACTAAAAACCTAACCTAAAAACTTCTAGGAATAAACGATTAGCAAATGTAAAATAGAGAAAATTTCTTTATTTCTAGAAAAGAATGAGCCTCCGATTAGGAGATATCCTGAAGCGGTTTTTTTAATCCGCCCTGTGTATTTCGTTGGGCCCCGTACAGATCTAGAATATCGGAATAAGAAGTAAGTAAATAAAACAAGAGATAGAAATCACGGAAGATTTTTTTTACAAGACCAAATAAAAAAAGGATATTGGCGGCCGCAATTAGAAATATAATAAGGAGATTCATTTTTAATTAAACCGAGGTTTAAATATTTAGTTTGGGGGGGAGCAAACAGACCAGAAAGAGTAAGTTATATTAAATATCAATCTTCCACACGGTGTTTTCTTAGCTGGGGAGCCCGCGCGTACGCATCATCCCCGAAAGCTTCCGCTTAACCGCTATTTACATAATCATTTTCTCACGACAAAGCGAATCTGCACTTTTTGGCGTACTCTCCCTACCATAAGCCGCTAAAATAAATAACAAGTGCTATTGTAGATCCCCTAAGCGTTTAGGAGATTCAGTATTTATACTATAAAGCGCACGGACGTCTTTTTATTGTACAGGGTGTCCACAATTTGGACACAGTCAACGACAAACGTTGTAAATTGAAGTTCTCAGGGCGGTCTTACTAATACATCTTTTTGATTACAGAAACTTTTTGCATAAGTCACCATGACGGTGGTCAACGAATGGATGGCAGGCACGAGGTTCGGCGGCTGGGTCCAAAGATGCCGGGAGTCGCGCCGCCTCGTTCTGGTCATCGTCGCCATAGCGCTGCTCCTGGACAACATGCTACTCACCACTGTCGGTAAGTGTCACTTTGTATCCAAGTTATTTTTACGTAAATGATATTTGTTTAACAATTGCTGCCGATAAATCGAGGAAGGTTGAAGAGTCTGATATGATCTGATCTGATCTGGTCTGATGTGACCTGATCTGATTTTATCTGATCTGATCAGACAACAGCAGTGATGACAGTAGTGACATTATTTCTCTAAACTATTTTATATCAGTTAAGACAGATTTATTGTGGCCTTATAAATATTTAAATGTTTACTCTAATATTTGTTGTACCTGTTGTGTTTTTATGGAGTGTTGTTAATAATTTTAAAATAATTTGATTTCATTTTAAAATTACAAATATTTTTAATTATTTTTCACTTGATTATAAGAGTTCATTCAAATTTGTATTACCTTTTTTCGTATTAAGTGCAATTTCTTTATCGTTTTTTTTTATGTTAATTTTTAATATAGTGACGTAGGAATAATTAAAAATCAAAATATAGTATATTTGCTTGGATAGTTTGTTGTTGACATTTTTCAATTTCAGCTTTGAAAAAATAAATTATTTAATTAATTTTCTCAGAAATTTTAGTTATGTGGAAGTATATTAAAAGCTAATATTTATGATGTATTTACTAAATGAGTCATTGTTTTATTGTGTATTTTCAAAAAGCAATGCTTTCTTAATAGTCCAGGTGCTATCTGTTTTAAAAAGGGTATACTTGGATAAAACGCATATGATCGGAGATTTTTGCTTTAACAGCTTCTAAATAACATCAGAAATGATAATTTTTCTATGCAAATAAAAAAAAACGTGGGCTTATTTGTTATTGCAAAAAAGTATAAAAAGACAGTAAAAAAAATCATTTTTTTCTTGGATTTCTCGTCGACAACTTAGCAACTATTCATTTTAGACAAAAATGAAGAGGAAAAAAGTTTTGTAATTAAATTTTAATCAAGTTAGTTGCAATTCGAAAAAATAATTATTGTTATTGCAAAAATCGGAAAAATCATTTAAAAAATTGCAAAACATGCGCTAGTTTATTTGTCAATTTTTTTTCGGACACTTGAATAATACCTAAGATCTTCATATTTTTCCCAATTAATTAATTAATTTTCGCAGGTTTGAACTCGAGAATTCAGATTGGAGTAGCTGTGTGTTTGCTCCCCCCACCATTGATATTTCATTGATTTCACGCGGTCTTGAATATCTTTGAGAGACATTTTAAATGGGACGCCCGTGATTGCAAATTTCGAAAATTTATATCTGGAAAAACTCAGCCCTTATACCCTTATAGTTTTGCTGTAAATAAGGGTTAACTTTAACGGGCTATAACTCCAAAAATAATGGGCGGATCATCAGGTTTTTTTTTAAATACTCGTCTTTCCAAGTACTTTCAAACCATATTTTAAAATAAAAAAAAATTGAAAAAAACATTAAATTATTGCAATTGTATATAAGCGTGAAAATTGCGAAAATGTTTAAACAATCACCACGGCTCACCTAATCGTCCGATTTGAATTTTTCAAAAACCATTTTAAAACTCGGGAGCTCTTCTTTTTGTGGTGAAATTTTCAAGTATTCAAAGGCTTTAGATTTTTAGAAATTTGATTTTGAATATTTTTTAATTAAAAAAAAAATTTAAACAATTATTATGTAAAAACTATCGAACCGAATTGGATAAAATTTGGTGTGATGATTCTATGCACTAAGAAGTTTAATTGGGAAAAGTATGAAGATCCTAGGTATTATTCAAGTGTCTGAAAAAAATTGACAAATAAACTAGCATTTTTTGCAATTTTTTAAATGATTTTTCCGATTTTTGCAACAACAATAATTATTTTTTCGAATTGCAACTAACT